CCCCCGGCCAAAGCGAAATGTCACCCAACCCGGGGGCCCAGAAACCCTCCCCCCCCCCCCCCCCCCCACTCGGCTGTTTCTCTTTCCTTATCTTTTCTCGGCATAGGGTACCCGGGAGCATTGGCGCCGCCAAGATGCTGGCGTATTTCTTGGCAGTCCTCGTCCCGACAGATGGAGGTGCGATAACGATAGTACCAACGTGGTATTGGGTTGATTTAAAGAAAAACAGTTGGATGAGCCAGCCGTGAAGGTATTTGAAATCTGTTTGGCTCATCCCTTGAAGGCTGTGTCCTTTTTTTTCTCTCTCGTTTCTTAAGCGGTGGGAAGAGCACTGCTAGCCCGGCCCGGCGGCGTGTCTTCCTTCCCTCAGGTCGGGCGTTTTTCTGTGAACCCTGGGAATCGATACGCTTGCTTCGTACGTGCAGAGCAACAAGATATCCATCTGTGTGTCGACCTTGAGAAGTGGGTACCGTTTTCCTGCTCCCGGTATACCAATATATGTATGCATATGTTACATCTTATCTTTATTTCGATTTTTTTTTTCCTTGTTTGCCGACGCAAGAAACCATGGATCTGTACTCCATGTCTACAGCAGGACTCGTACCACCCATCTGGGACGACAGTCTTTCCTCTGAAGTGTGGCAGAGAAGACGTACTGCTCATCAACCACGCAAGCACTCCTCCCCAACAACACACTGCTGTGGTGTATTTGCTTCTGTGCCGGGCATGCTGCTCATCAACCACGAGAAGAGCTCCCCTCCCAACAACGCACTTGGTGAATTTCCGTTGATTCTGCTCGCGAAACCCCTCACGACGCCTGCCTGTCGAATGCGCATCGTGCCCCCCTTTTCCATGTGTTGCTCCTCCGGCTGTCACCGTGCTCTCTCTCTCTCTCTCTGTCTGCCGTTTTGACGGCACACTTCTATCGAGCAGAATCTCCGGAGATGTCCTACCTGTTCACGGTCGTCCCGATCGTCTCGCTAGCCATGGCCGCCGCCGCCCCGTTCGCGCTCTTCCGGAGAACGCCTCCTACACAGGCTGCTGTCGGAACCCGCCTCGGAAGCGGGGAACCCGTAGGTTCAGGGATCGCCGAGGACTGGTCGGGCCCTATGGTCCCACTAGAGGTGAAAGCTTAGGAAGCTGAATGTGGCAGGGGGGGGGGGGGGG